TATACAATTTTGCAAGCCTGATAATGCATGCAAAAATGAGTGTACATGTATATATGCAACACACAAATACACTCTCTTTAAAAACTTATGCAAAATGTGAAAAACACTTCCAACTATCCTGAAGGCTTGCAAAAATCCCCATTCATGCCATCCCAAACCCCAAAATTAAGATTTTCATTTGTATTTTAACCAAACATCTTATCTCCAAGACATATTTTTATACTTGAGTGAATTGTAATTTGTAATTGTTAAAGGAATTGTAATTGTAATTGTACCCAGCTGAACTTCCGGCTTTGTGACAAGACGCTCAGAATACACTCTAACAATTTTGAACTGGTTTACCTCTGAATAAGCATTGTAGGTGTAAAAATGAACTGCAGAAAAATAATCTCCTACCGTATGTTGCAGAGCAGCACAAAGGCCACAGGTTTAGAAGCCGAACTGTTCTACAACAACTATAACATTATTATTATTATTGTTGTTGTTATTAAATGGAGAGCTGGTGGTCCCATCTGGAACACACTTGTGAGAATGGGGAACAGACAAAGGGAAACAAATTTGTGGCGCAAACACCCTCGACTTTTCTGTCACGTGCTGGTGACTTTGTAAACTGCATTCTGCCCCGGCGCTGGGGGGCAGGAGCCAGGCAGGGGGCAGTTTGGAGAGAAAAGCAGCAGCGCTGTCTGGGGTGCCAGTGTATGGAGTCTGGAGCACGTAAATGCAGACGTGTTTTCACCCAGGGGAAGGCGACTCCAGGTCTCCAGCCAGTTCAGAGTTCTCACCTGCTTCAGAGGCACCTGTTAATTAACACGTGTGTAAGACCTGCAGTACACTGATGATTGAACTACGCTAATTGGTTCAATTAACCATTAAAGCCATGGGGTGGAAGCCAGAGACTGGTGTTTTGCCTGTCGTTGCCTTCGATTTTCATGGTGCATTTGATTGCATCGTGAAAGAGAAGGGATCATTCCTTACCACCTTTTAGGACTGAAATCCTGTCTTTATTCTGTTTTGTTTGAGACACCACAAAGCTTCAAGAACATGAACCCAAACCTCGATTTAGCAGTCAAATTCTGAGTGTTTAATCACAGGCTAGGTGATTTCAGTTGTTCGTTTGGGTCATATTAGTCAATTTGCCTTCAGCTTGTGAAAAAGGTCCACCTTTTGGGATTTTTTCAATGATACCACCACTGCGCCGATTTCAGTTTCAGAGCTGCCTCTCACTCAGGTGTGCTGCCTGAAATGGAACCAGCTGGATCTCTGGAACAGGAAAGAACTCTCATTGTGTTCATCCAATGCAGTGTCCTTTTGCAGCTGTATCGGTTCAACAGCACTACATCAGCAAGCAAGCGGTGTTTAGTCAGAAATAACATCAAGCAAGCTGAGGGGAGGCTGTGTGACATCCTGTGTGCTGAAGTTGTTGGAAAGAGTAGGAAACAACTGACTGAAGAATCAAGATAAATAAAAACGTTACCACGTGAGCAGATCAATGAACTCATCAATTAACTCTGGGGATTTAAGAGATAAACCAGAATTAAATTCAGTGGACAGTGATTGTCCAGAACCAGTGCTCAATGTAATGTGAATAACTTCCATGTACATGTACATATGGCAGTAAACTCCTTTACTCTCTGCTCTACTATGTTTGATATTTTCACTAATGTCTAGAATAGACAGATGTGAAAATGCCTCAGTTAAAATGGAAAACTCTGTAAACCCAGCAGGCCAGTGAGTCCTCAGGACAAGGATCTGGGAAACCCTGGATTAATCTACTTCCAATTACTGTATATACAGCCCAGCGAAGCAGAATAAGAAATAAGTGCCTGACATAAACCTGGTAAAACTAAATAACTGCAGAGGTACAGTGCACATTTGCCACGGTGATTTCCCATAAGGCCTACTGTGATTTCTGTGCCGTTTGTGCCTAGACTGACGTTTGCCATGAGCTTAACACAAAGAAAAAAATAACATCCGGATCCATATTCGTTCCTGAAGAGGGATTAGGATTAGTAAACTGTGCTGTGCGGTTTGCCGTGAAGTCCTTCTGTGACCAGGCAGCCTCTGGACTGCCCCTGCCAGTCATGTCTTAACCTTCCACAGGTCTACATGTAGAAACAGATTCCACGGAGACACAAAAAGACGCCAGTGTGATAGGCGATGTGAACTAACACTCCTTGAAAACTCGGACACGTTAACACTTTCGCCCTCAGGTGTGGTGCCTTCAGAAATTCGGCTGTTTCTTCCAAGGACTTGTGACAATAGAGGACTTTCTTTGAGTGCGTCTCATTTTCATTTCATTTGTGCGAATTCCAGCTGTACAAATGCTCTGAATCTATGAATGACTGTCCCTTGTAACTATACTTAGAACCATGTATATACTGTACACTGCGCACATGTAACACACATAATTTCAGCTCTTTTCGTATTTTGTACTTGCGAGCCCCGTATCTTAACTACGCGCCGCAATCATCATTTCTAGTTGTATTTTTACAAGTACAACGTGCAGCAAAAAGGGGTCTTGAATTGGGAGCCGAGTCTTTCCCCTTTCCCACGTTACCGCAGTGCTGAATTGTTCCCCCTTCTCGCTGGTCTGGGAATGATCCCTTCTATGTCGGGCCAAAAAAAAAAATAATGCGTCCGATTCGGTAAAAGGCGTGACGTCACAGCACCACGGCCGTGTATAAAGCGAAGGCAGACGAAGGCGGAACCCTATTGTTCCAAGACTGCAACTCGTTTACTTCGGAGGACTACGCCGCTGCTGAGTAAATTGATTTTTTTTTAGCTTTTTTTCCCCCCCTTTAAATTATTCTTTGTTCCAGGATTGATATATTCCTTTGTAAAACATGTTTAGATACTCATACTAATTGTAACTTGGCTTTCATTGATGTGTATATATATATGGTGCAATCGGATGGATTTGTGCATGGTCGCCACGGTATTGGATTAAGACCCCCTAAACTTGAATTGCTTAGGGCTGCACAATTCTACCGGTCTCTAGTGTTCATTCTTCCCCCTTGCAGCCTCCTCGGGGATAGCGGACCTGAAAGCGGCCGGTTTCGGTGTCCCATTGAATCTGATCTTGCAGTGCTGGTGTTTTTCGTCGGACGCTCAATCAACCGTGAAGTGCTGATTTTGGTTCTCTCCCCTCACCCCCTTCCAATTAGGTCAATTGGACAGAAAATGGCAGACAAGCCCAGTCTGGACGAGATCTCCCAGTTTGATAAGAGCAAGCTGAAGAAGACGGAGACTCACGAGAAGAACACGCTTCCCACAAAAGAGAGTGAGTAACTAACGCTTTTTCTGGACGGTTTGAAGCGGGGTGGTGGTAGTAGTGTGGGCAGATTCACTCTGGGCTAAAGCCGGTAATTGTTAATGCATTCTTATTCACCGGCGTACACTGCCGATTGCTTTCAATTGTGGTGGGGGAAGGATGCCGCCTTTCTTGAATGAGCCTTTTACTGTCTCTAAAACTGCTGATTTGTGTTAATGTACATGCACGATAAAGATGTGCTAGTTAATTATCGTCATAGACCGCACTAGAGATGTTAGAGGCACGCCCCTCCGTCTAGCCTACAAGCTCGGGAGAAAGAGCCTTTACCGTGTGAAGTGACGGACACTTTATTTTATTTTTTTGCGTGTCTCAGCAATTGCACAGGAGAAACAGGGCGAGAACTCGTAGGCAGCGGCGAGAGCAGCATCGTTTCCTTTGTTCCGCGGACTCCCGCACGAAGACCCACGGGCTCCACGGGCAGCGCACGAGGAAAATGTTCGGCGGACGGCGCCTGACGGACGGGAACTGGTCCTGCGTGACCAATTGTTCTCGCGTGGGAAAACCCCAGAAATTTGTACAAATGTTGAAATTGACTTAATAAAAGTGAATAGAAGTTACTGTCTTTTTTTTTTTTTACCGCCCTGCATTTTATCAAGACCAAAATGCATCGGTGGGTTTGGAGCGAGAAGGGTTAATTTAACAAAATCCGCCGGCATTGCTCCTATAGGCAGCATTTCTCTGCGCTAGACCAGCAAGTCTGGCCACGCCTATAGATCGAAGACTAGACATGCGGTGCAATTTAAATTCGCAGAGTTATTCATGATGATCGATATCTCCGAAAGGAGTCAAGGCGTGTCCTCTTCAGATAACGGAGGACACCAGTCTTCACAACTGGTTTAAGCATCTTCAATTTAACGCTGGAATGCAATCCATATTGGAGCGGTTTTCTGACTGACATTGTTAGGTTTTAAGGAATTGAATTCCACAAATCCAATAGCTTTAGAAGAAGCTGTGTTCTTTTGCCAGCTCCAGTTAAGGAGTGAAAAGCTTCATCTCTTAATCTATTGGGTTGTGAGTAAAACGTGAGGTGCTTAATGAAAGAAATATCTTTCTTGTTTGCCATGATCTAAACCTCAATTGCAACTTTAAATTGCAAGAGCTTGTCTGCAACATCCAGACCTGCAGTGAGGGTTTAACCTCCAGCTAAAGCGTCTGAATAGCAAAATTGAGAAGCCTTTCTGTGGTATCTTAGCCAAAGAATACTAAACCCCATCACTTTCATTTTGGGAAGGCTTGAAACATCTCCTGGGCTTCGTCTAAAATGAAAAATTGTTGGACAATAGCTTGTACTGCCCTCCTGTGAACCGATTTGGGTGGATTGTAGACTGCTATTTTGTGACTTTTTTTTTTTGCAGTGACAGGCAATGCAGAACTCAAACCCTGCAATTTACCTTATACTCATTCCTGTTTTTTTAGTAGCTTCTCAAAACCCCTAATAAGTTTAGGTGACCAGCATCCCGCCTCAAATGTTCGGGTAAAGATGAGATGCGAGGCAGATTCGGTTTGAGTGGGGGGTAGTAGTGAGGGATTGAAGTCCCTTGCTTTTTAACTGAAGTATGTTTGACAGATGAGTCTAGAGAGTGGGGTGTGAGGATGTTCTGGTTTTAGAGTCACGATGGCGAAGTGGGATGTTCCTGATTGAAGAATAACTCCCCTTGGGCCATATGGCTACCCTGATGGGACAAGCATGACCTCATGAACCCAGCTGTCCACTAGTTTCCCAGGGGTGTCAAATTGTGGCCCTGGGGGACTGTAGTTTTTTTGGGGGGGCGTTATTGGATTTGATCATCCATAATTGATCACTCTTATCTGCCACAGGTCCTTCTCAGTGGGGGGAATAAAGATATTTTTGGCACTTTGTGGGACTGAAATTTAGGCATCTTATTGTGAACTACTGCTCTTCTGCAATCTTACTGCCGATCGCAAAAGCTACAACACATCAATTTCCCTTCTGGATCAATAAAGTCTCTATCTAAACAAGCTCGTACAAGTCCTTTATATAGTACCAGGCAAGTGTTGTGAAGCTCTGGAACAGATCAGTTAAGACTGAACCCTCTGGGTGAAACAAAAGTCCCATTTTAACTGTACAGGTGGTCTTTTCATCTAATGAGCCAGACCGGTTTATTAAGCTGGGGAAATGGCTAGTGAACTAGTAATGGCATTTGGTCTAAAAATATCCCACTTTCTACTCTTGAATTTACATTGTGAGCTAACTTGATACCGTATTTGCAAACCATTGTCATTTCTGTCGCACCAACTTCATGGACTCCTTTTGATAATGGAGAATATGATCAACCTGTATTGGGAAAACCCCCCAAAATGTAAAAGACCGGCCGAGCACAAATATTCTCAACCTTCATGATTTCAAAGTGTTGCCTTCCTTTTAGGAAAAACCTTGATTTTAATCAAGGTTCAATGTTTGCAAGTTCAACGTGAAGTTTAGCCAGGACACTGCAGTTTATACCCACTCGCTTACGAACAGTGCCGTGGAATCTTTAATGACCAGGTTGTCCGGAATTTGGTAAAAAATATCTCATCCAAAGAGCAGCACCTTCTACAGTACAGTGTCCTTGGTCGCGATACTACAGCTCGGAGTCGGAAATCCTGGCGCAGAGTGAAGAGTGCCCCCTGGCGGCCCGCTAACGCCACGCACACAGGCGCGCAAGTTTAATTAAAGTGCATTCAATGTTCCTTATCCCAGCGCCTCCCGCTCGGTGAAACTGTAGAGTAGAGACGGAGAGTCGGAAGCCCGTCACTCTCTCCTTCAGGAACGACGCTCTGCCGACAGAGAAGGTCCGACGGGCGGACTCTCATGCCGCCCCGTCGGAGGCGGCTGTTCATTCTGCGCGGAGACGCGGGGAGAGCCCGGGCTCTTTCTGTTACGGGTTCTCTCCCGCAGGCAGCACGCCATCCTCCTCTGCTGAGGCAGCGGTAGTAGAAAAAGGAAGCAGTGTGACGGAGGCAAGACGTTCCCCCTTGCTACTTTTCATGCCCCCCCATGCGAGCAGATGTGCTGGCGAAGCAGCTGCGGCTGTCTAGCGAGAGAAAGATTTAGGAGCGAGAGGGCGTCTGGGCTCGATGTTAGAAGCACAAGCGTCGCTTTGAAGAGGTAGAGTCTGAGGCTCGGATAACACTTTGATCTGCTTAGCTCCAGCCTTTCTGCCCCCGTGCTCTTATTCCTCGGTGTTTTCAGCTTAAACCTTGAAGTTATCAATTTTAACTTAAAAGATTTCCTCTCTGCTCTTCACTACCGAACCCAGTGCGGACATATTTTCGGTGTTAAGTCTTAAAGTGGTCCAGAGATCCAGATCAGGACTGAGGTAATCTTTCACCAGCACAGACTTCACTGTCTGTAATACAGAAGAAGAAACCTTGATGCTCCCTGCTTTTCTGCTGTAATTTCACTACACTGCACTATTCACCTGAAGGGCGTGCGTACTTGAGCAGGCAACGTATTTTTGCAGTTTTTGATGACATTTAACTACCGAAGCCATAAAAGTGCTCAGTTTGAGCCTTCAAGTTCTGATTAAAAATCTAAACATTGAAAATGTGTATAGATCATTTGGAATTCAACAAGATGGGACCATTGGAGGGGTGTGTATACTTTTACAAGGTGCTGTACAGCTGCCGACTCGTGCTTAATGAAGTTAAAGAGCAATAGAATATTATATTTCATAGGAACATCAGAACATACTGTATAAAAAATTAGAAATGAGATAGCCTATTTATGTAGTTTTATTGGTTGTTGCTTAATGATCCCAGGACTTGGGTCTTGGAACAAAATGGTTTTCTGCAATGTGGTTATACAGTTTGCTCCTTATATATCTCTGTGGACAGAACGGCCTTGTGTTCTGCATGTTACATTTAGGTTTGTGTGTGTAGAACAAGCTGTCTGTCCACACTGCAACCGAAGAAGTATATTCCCCAAGGGCTTCCAATCCACTGAGATCCGCTGTTACAGATTAATTTTGTGTATTACAGAGAGACGCAGGCACTAGCCAAAGCCATTCATTCTCCTTGTCTGCCCTTGAGGACAACAGGCTTCGGAGCGAGAAAAAATAATGCACCTGTCTCGGTGCCGAAGGATCGCTCAGAAAACTCGAGATGAAAAGTGCTCTTTGAGGAGACAGCTGGCCTGGCGTCCCCCCCTGGGGTCAGCCCTCTCTGGGGTCGGCTCTCTCTCTCTCTCTTACTCCACAGCCCCGGGCTCTGCCTGAGACTGTCACCTCTGGCCCTATCTTGGTTGTCAAGACAGCACTGCTGGCTCATGGATGACACTGGGCCATTCAGAGAGCCGGGACAGAACAGGCAACTCTTAAGGAGAAACAATACTGGGTTTATTTCTCCCGGTAATGTTCCCAATCAGCCAATAAGGTTTGTAATTTCTCCCAATGACAGACAGGTGTCTGTTTACTGAACACCTCAGCACCCCTTCTAATGATAAGGATGTTCACAGCATTTTAGGGCATGAGAAAAGAAGGATGTTCTTCAGTATTAGTTGTGTGTCGCCTGTTCATATAGACACTGACCCACTGCAGGTTCCCAAATATACTAAAGTGTTCAGATTCAGGTTCGGCCAGCCTGACTCATCAGCTTCTGAGAGAGACTCCTTCCTAATGTGAAGGTTTAGTCACAATTGACGAAGATACCCGAGGCCTGTGTTTGTCTCTTGATCTGCTTTTTAGATGGGTCTTTTTTAATATTGCTTTATTACCTAATCGCTTAAAATATAGCACTTAGATTTTGTCTTTGCAAAAGCGCAGGAGAAGAATCCCCAACACGCAGTGCTAAACAAAGAGGCTGCTTATGACTTATAGGCACGTATTGCGAACAGGGTCATTTTCATTAGGCTGATTTGGTGAATTCCCAAGCTGTCAGGTTCTGCCAGAGCCATCTTTAAAATAGAGTCATTGGTTTAACGGAGATTACACAGCCAGCTGCTACTAGATGTTTTGAAGGAGGCCCCTCTAGACCTGTGGTATTGATCTCCTTTTACCTCTGACATTACCCAGATGTTCATTTGACCTCTCTCTGCCCAAGAGGACCCTGCGCTTCCATGGCAACAGACATTATGAGAAGCCCTCTCTAAGTCACCCAACTGACAGCCCCTGACTGCTGACATATTGAATGTGCTTCTGCAGGTGGTCAGGGATGAAGTGATTTTGTTACTGCTGGAGGTTAGTGACTTGTGTGTCAGTGGAAAGGGACATTTGTGATATGCTTATACTGTAGTCTATATTTTACCATTCTGAAACAAGACCAACAGTAAAAACTACCACAAAGTCAAATACTCTATATTACCTGTTAAATACGGGTGTAAGTATACTACGTCTTATGACCAGAATTGTTAAAATTGCTGTTACAGTGGAAACCTTCTTATTCATATTCATTTTCTAAGCTGTAATTTACAAACATCGTATCGTATATTGTAGTAAACACCTCAGGTAAATACAGCAGTGCCCAATTTTCTTAAGAAAACAGTGTTAATAATGTTGTAATAAATTGGACCCTCATCTGGGATTGTAGATCTTTAAAGCCTATTATAATAAATTAGAAGGTGTAAATATAACTAAGGTAATGTTTTAGTGATAAATTGATACGTGAAATGCAGTCAAAGGGACCTGCGCAAGAGGAGAAATGGTTTATTGTGGGAGTGTCGTCTCCTAATTTATCTGCTCATTGTAAAATGATCACCCAAAAATAACATTTATTCAGAAAGAAGGGTAAGCATGCTGAGCGCAGACCACTTGAATTTCAGTACTCTGAAGCTGTCGGTGAGGTAGCCATCAAGTGGTCTTTAAACTGGGGACTGAATGCAGAAAGAAGTAAACCAACAGTCTAAACCAGCAAGGAGATTAATTACAGGCACCAATTAGCTCTGATGATTCAGAGCTCAGCTGGGGTCAAAGGCAGCAGACACAGCTGTCCCCCAGGAGCAGGGCTGGGGACCACAGGCATTGAAGGAGCCTGTTCGAGTGATGTCACTTCCTCTCGTCCACAGGTGGGTAATCATGGCCCTGGAGGGCCAGTGTTTCTGCAGGCTTTTCATTTCTTTACAACCTAAATTAGCTTATTATTGGCTTAAAGGGACCCATTTAGCAGCCTCTCCTAGCTCTCCATGTGCTGTGCCTTTGAAGAGATCTATAAAACTGCAGACACATGGCCCTCCAAGACAGGGATTTTTCTTCCCTGCCCTGGTCTCTCAGGGCAATTCTAACTCCCTACTCAGGGGGGTCACATCTTTTGGTGCAGTGAGTGAGACATCGTTTAGGCTCTGTGGCGACTGGCACTGGCTGAATTCTCACACTCTGTCTCTGTCTTTCGGTCTTTACACTGTAAGGACACTTGTGACCTGGAGGCCCAGTCCTCCATAAAATTACCATTCTCTTCTCGTCACATAACCTTTACAAGATAAGTCCTTCACGGAGAATCTTAATGTGTCACACAGTGTCTTTTTGCAGGCCTTCACCTGTGGTTTTCTCCAAATCAAGCAGGTTCTAGATATAAGAGTTCAGCATAATACAAAACACAGCTCCACAAATATGAACTCTATTTACATATTGCCTTTGTAATTCATATTTTCAGAATAAACCGGTATTCCTCCCAAACGCAGGCATCCATTTGCTCACGTCTAGGTTTTTCAACAGTGCAGTGCTGATTATTTAGAGGTTCCTTTCCATTAGAATCATTCTAGTAGGAGGGCAATGACCACATATGATAATCAGCCCACACAATTACCTCCAGCTCTTTCGGCTTCAGCAATTAGTTCCCACAGGAAGGAAGTTGTTAACAATAAGGCATCTAATGGACTGACGAAAGTCACCACATGCCTCTGCAGATGAACTCCCTGAAACGTTAAGCTCAAACCAGAAAGTATCAAAAATGTTCCACAAGCATTAATAACCATTATGTTTTTCGGTGTAGAAATAAAGTTTAATTAATGTCATGTTCTGCGTTATTTTGAGGAAGGAAAAGGAACTATTTTCCTATTTGCCATCTTACTTTGTTACTATAGAATCACAATGTATTTATATGGGATATTTTGCTATTGATCCACACAAAACACTGTATAATGTCAAAGTGAAAACAAAATTGTACAGATCCTCCTAAACTAATTATAAATATTAAACAGAAAATAAGTGATTGCATAAGTATTCATCCCTTTATTGTGACACACCTAAACAGGCTGTGGTGTCACCAAATGTATTTTAAAGTCACATTATTTGTTGAATGGAGTCCACCTGTGTGCAAGTACTGTTTCACATGAGTTCAGGATAGATATACCTATCCTATGGTTGATTAGTATAGCTCCCAACAAAAAAACTAGATTTTTGTGACCTCAACAGTAAGAGCTATGTTTGGTGCAAGCATATCAGTGAACATCATCCTGAGAATACCATCCCTACTATGAAGCACGGTGGCGGCAGTATCATGCTATGCTGAAGCTTCGCTGCATCAGGGCCTGGAAGACTTGTGTAGATAGAAGGAAAAATGGATGCAGGAAAGTACAGAGCAATTCTGGAGGAAAACCTGCTACAGCCTGCAAGAGACACGGGACTGGGGAGAAGATTCTTCCAGTGGGACAGTGACCCAGAGCATACAGCCAAAGCTGGAGTGGTTGTAAAAGAAGGCAATGCTCTGGAGTGGCCCAGTCCAAGCCTGGACCTCAGTCCAATCCAGAATCTGTGGCAGGAATTGAATAAGAAATCGTATGGCTGTAATTTCTGCCAAACGTGCCTCTACCAAGTATCGCCTCAAAAATGTTCAATACTTATGCAATACGTTTTTTTCATTTTATATTTATATCTGCAGAATTTTGTTTTCACTTTGACATTAAAAAGTGTTTTCTGTCAACCGACAGCAAAAACCCCTAGTTAAATGCATTTTGGTTCTATATTATCACACAATAAAATGTAAAAACGTACAAGGGGGGGTGAATACTTTTAAGATTGTAATATTTAATAATAATATCATAATGTAACATGTTGATGAGATGGACATTACAAATTAACATACAAATAATTAAAACTCTTATTTTCCCTCTCTGCTCCTGCACAGAAGCTAGTAATACCCTTTGGGAATACGAGGTGCAAATACAATCTGGGTTCTTTTGAATAGTTCCACTCAACCTCAGGGATGAAGTGGTCCATTTGAAAGCAAAGTTATCATGATTTCAATACCCCTAATAATATGTAATTTATTTTAAGGTTTTCTGTCATGTACTGTGTTTCATACATACAGTATGTGTATCGCAGTTGCGAATCGTCTCTCAGTTATCACGTCTCTACAGAACAGTGTGTACTGCATGTTTCTGAGAATTTATGGCTCATTGGTGGTTCACATAGGGATATTAACAACCACGATAGTTGATGCACCTGTAGAATTATATTTAATGTATATGCAAACATTTAAGCGATAGCTGTAACTACTGCAAGACACAATCTAAAGCGGAGTTTCAGATAGAGTTGAATGATGAATTAATCATACTGGAGACGTTTATAACTCAACAGAGCCATCTAGTGAAATTATGCTGGAATAATTATATTTTTCACTCTCACAAAGATTTTTTTTGTTAGATTATAACCGTTAAATAATGACATGGGTGTGTGATGTAACTCACATCAAGAATAATCGTTTTCATATTCATTTGGATAACCTTTCCCTTTTTAGGAAGGTTTTCAATGTATGCAAACGGTAGTTATTCAGTACCTAAGCCATACTCGCGATACAAAATACAAGAAACTGTTCTAAAACTTTGTCACAGTCAAAAGAAAGAAAAGTAAAAACAGAGTGAAATCACTGTTAAAATCATAGCGCCCAAAAGTAAGAGAAACTTGGAAAGCACTGAAAACGAAGGTAAATGCAAGGCGAAAAACAGAAAAATATTCAACCACACCATGCAGATTTACATTTTTTTCATAAAAGATCTCGAATAATTAGTTTACACTCTCTAATTTTTAACAGTGTAGCGAGCTAAAGTACAAATGCTTGCTATTAAGATGTTATTAAGTATAAATATAGAACTGCGCTAGCAAGAATTAATAAATGACAGATAAACTAGTTTGACAGTCACCGCGCGCATCCTCTTCCTTGAGGTCATGTGTAACCCCGTCTGACGTCATCTGAATGCGCCCGGGGTTTATTTTCACAGCACAGTACTCGGAATTGTCGGTTAGAGGATCGTGCACATTTCCCTACATCGTCTTTTAGAAAATATTTTGATAATTGTAGATGCCGTGAACCTGTTCGTATGTGTAACACTTCTATATCGCCTGATATTATATTATAACCACAAGATACGTTGTATTTTTTTAGTTTAAGAGTCTAATAAATGCTAACATTTTAGGGGTACACTTAACGTAAACAGTCCATGCGATGAGTGACTAAAATACCTTAAGGTTAACTAGTAAGCTGGAAATGTCCGCGCAGGGGGACTGCGAGTTTTTAGTTAAGAGGGCCCGGGAGCTCGTGAATGAAGATCCATGGGCAGCCAAAGCGTGGCTCATCACTGCTCGAACCCTCTACCCTTCAGATTTTAATATACAGGTAAGTCATTACAACATTACGCACAGTTAATAGGGTCAGAACAGTTCAATTGATTTTCGCAGGGCACGATATTGTTCTAAAGAGATGCTGTAGTGAGCATCAGTCTGAACTGTCCCCTGAAGACACCTCGTATTTTAAGAATAACAGCAGGGGCAGCTGTCTTGTAGAGGTGAAAACGGCAGTAGAACAACTGTATTCCTTTTCCTTTTATTATAGAGAATGATGGTTAGAGAAAATGGAGAAGAATCAAGGTATCTAAAGGCTGACCGGGCTATCCAGTGCAGGAACTGCACCCACGCCAATGTTTAATAAACGGCATTTGTATGTCTGTCTTTCCGTTTTCTTTCAGTATGAAATGTACACCATTGAGCGCAACGCAGAGAGGACAGCCTCAGCGGGGAGACTGCTGTATGACATGTGAGTGCTTTACCCCATGAGTACACCTTTTTGAGAGCTGAGAATTGATCCGAGGGTCTCGCTCAGCTGTTTCTTGAAAGACGCCGGGGTAATAGCTTCAGCAACAACTGTGTAGTTTGTTCCACAACCTTTTACAAACAGATATTCCTCCTGTTCTGGGTTTTAAATGCATGTGCATATAGTTTCTGCTCACGGTCAATGGTTCACATTGCACTGTCCGTTCTGGAGAAGAAACCTGCTGGGTTGACATTTCTTCTGTAATTGTAATTTTCAATGAGCTTTGCATGTTGATGCTTCAGTACTGTGTGTGTCTTTGCATTTTGTGAATTCCTCCAGCTGATGGCTCTTTTCATTTTCAGCCCAAGATACTTAAAGGTCTGAGTCATTAGAAATTGAAATGATGTAAAACACTGCTTATATGGTTTTATTTCTAATCGGTGACCGCGTTATCGGAAGTGTGGATCCTCCAAATAACATTTCACGAGCTGGAAATCCCAAAGCAGACGTCAAGACTTGAAGTCTGGTTTTGAGCTGGCTGCTTTCAAGGGAAGATCAAATGGCCTCATCGGCAGTCCTGCGGGTCCCACACAGAGCAGGGTGGCTGTGACTGACAGGCCAGGCCTGTCCCTGGGGACACGAGCTGCTGCACTGCGGAGTGTTCACCGTGACCGCAGGATGACAGTGAGACTCTGAGGAGGCCGGATATCTGTGTCTGTGTCCCTCCAGGTTTGTGAACTTCCCTGAGCAGCCGGTGGTGTGGCGGGAGATCAGCGTCATCACTGCCGCCCTGCGGAACGACTGCCAGGACAAACACGCCCAGTTTCTGAGAGGTGAGGGCTCTTATGGCCAGCAGCCATATCACCCTGCAACTCACAACTGGCAGCCCACTGAAGCTCAGCAGGCGTGAGCCTGGTCAGTACCTGGATGGGAGACCTCCTGGGAAAAACTAAGGTTGCTGCTGGAAGAGGCGTTAGTGGGGCCAGCAGGGGGCGCTAACCCTGCGGCTCATGTGGGTCCTAATGCCCCAGTGTAGTGACGGGGACACTATACTGTAAAAAAGGCACCATCCTTCGGATGAGACGTAAAACCGAGGTCCTGACTCTCTGTGGTCATTAAAAATCCCAGGGCGTTTCTCGAAAAGAGTAGGGGTGTAACCCCGGCATCCTGGCCAAATTTCCCATCGGCCTTTATCAATCATGGCCTCCTAATCATCCCCATCTATAAATTGGCTACATTACTCTCCTCTCCTCCCCACTGATAGCTGATGTGTGGTGAGCGTTCTGGCGCACTATGGCTGCCGTCGCATCATCCAGGTGGATGCTGCACATTGGTGGTGGTGGAGGGGAGTCCCCATTACCTGTAAAGCGCTTTGAGTGGAGTGTCCAGAAAAGCGCTATATAAATTTAAGCAATTATTATTATTATGCGGAGGGCCTAGCCTGGCGACATGGGGCCTCTGATGAGCTGGACAGTCTGGGAGTTGCTGAACTGGCCAGGGCGGGCCAGCTACAATACCAGCTACTTGTGATTTGTATCTGTTTTTGTATTTTTAAACACTCTGATGTTCTAGAGTTTATCAAAAGGTATTGCCATTTTTAAATGTAAACGTCAGGGGTCTGGTTGGATTAGAAATGGGGACTGGGTCACATCGCCCAGGGATTAGAGATTGCAGAAACAGTTCGCACGTCAGTGGAAACTTCTTTTGTTTACTTTGTACATCGCCGTAGTGAAATAAGTGAACCATTCAGGACTTTTGTAGAAGTACGGATTGTAAATTGACTTATTTTTAAACTAATGTGAGTTATGATGTTTGTTCTTTCTGCTTAGTTAATTTTTCTGCTCATGATTGATTTTGCGACGAGAAGACCTGTTTTAAAAAAAAAAAACAACAAGCAAAAAATCCCTTTGTGCAGCAGTTTTGTGGTTCTTCTGGCCTGTAAGTCAAGGAAATCAGGGTAGAGAACAGTTTATAATATTTTTAGTGGTATTTGTTTAAAGGTTTCCTTCCTGTCTCAGGGAGACAGCCATTAGTAGGTGGGCAGTCAATGGGCGAAGTGCTGGAAAACGTTGGACTTTTAATGAAGAGAGGAGTTAGTCCAGTTGAGCCCCTCCGAGGAGTGAAGACTGGAAGACCTCATGGTTCTCCAGGACTCGTCTAGCAGGCGGGAGAAAGCCATTGCGGGCGCTGTGGCCTGACTGCCAGCTGCGTGTCTTTCAGGCCTGTTTGAGACGCTGCCGGGCCGGGTGCAGTGCGAGATGCTGCTGAAAGCCACCGAGCAGTGCTTCAACACCCTGGAGAAAGCCGAGATGCTGCTGCTGCTGCTGCGGCGCTTTCCTGAGTCTGTCGTTCAGCACGGGGTGAGTGTG